TCAGTGTGACGCTGTAGTTGGAGCTGTGATGAGAGACAGTACAGTTGTATAACTCGATCTCACTCTTTCTGATCTCCACACTCTTCCTCAGCTGATGGGTGGCGTCTCCGTTGGGTCTGAGCCCACTGGACCACACCTCGTCTCCCTCGGTCTCTCCAGCCCTGGACAGACTGACCTCTATGACTCCAGGACTGAAGCCAGTGACCAGACAGGACAGAGAACAGTTCTGTGTGTCTTCCCGACGCTTGGAAGAGACAAACACCTGAGGAGAGACTGAGAGGGAGACCAGAAGCAATGTTAACTGAGAATTAGTGTGGACACTGTGCAAGGCGAGGCGACATCGCTGCACAGACAACTTGTGTGGCTCCTTTCTGTAAACCTTTACAACCACAACATGTCAGTATTAGACAATTATACAAATCAAACACATTTTCTCTTTGTCTGTTCCTCAGACAGGAGATCACACACTGTATTATTATTATTGAGAGACAGGCTCACTGTCTGTTCGTCATGCTGGGACAGGAAATCACACATTGTATTATTATTATTGAGAGACAGGCTCACTGTCTGTTCCTCAGGCTGGGACAGGAGATCACACACTGTATTATTATTGAGAGACAGGCTCACTGTCTGTTCCTCAGGCTGGGACAGGAGATCACACACTGTATTATTATTGAGAGACAGGCTCACTGTTCCTCAGGCTGGGACAGGAGATCACACACTGTATTATTATTATTGAGAGACAGGCTCACTCTCTGTTCCTCAGGCTGGGACAGGAGATCACAGTAGGACTGGAGCACTGCAGACATGTCCTGTTCACACAGGATCACATAAGGTTCACATTCACACAGAAGCACACTCACACACGAGGAAATTTCCCATAAGCCAATTTACCTACCAGCAAGTGGGAGGAAACCCACACAAACATGAGGTGAACATGCAAACTCCACACAGACAGCACCCCAGAAACTGCACTGTGCCACCCACTCCTCTGCACATGGGGGAACTTCTTGTGTAGAGCTTCTAGGTGCATTTGTCTCATATTGTATCTGATATCTCTCTGTCTCACCTTTGTGTGGTTTT